AGTAAAAGTAAAAAATGTTTTAAAGTTGCTACCATGTAGTAAAAGTGTCTGGCACAGTGCACTGGGTGGCAATAAATACAGAATATAAATACTTTACATGGACCTGAGCGCAGACTCGTAGCACCATTTTGGAGACGGAGCACCAAAGGGACTCGTCAAATCTCACGATTCACAACTCGGAGAAGCCACCATTGTTTTAGGGCTCTCAGAGCTTCTTTTTTTTTGTAGTGCAAATTATTACGATTATTATTTTTGTTCGTTTCTCGATGATGTCCCTTCTGGCCCAAGTCTCAGCTGCTGTATTTAATGTTGGCGATAATGCAAGGCTTCGGCAGCGTTGGGGGTTGCTTTGGACTGGGCCTGGAGATAAAAAGACAGAGGTAAATAAATATTTAGGTAACATAACTGTTTTTTATAACTCAACTCTGAAAAAGTTGTGACTTTGTGTGAAATGTATTTTAAATGCTGGTTAGAGCTCTATCATGCAAAGAAAAGGGGACCATATGTAAACACCATCCATAAAAAATATTGTTGTCCTCTCTGGGCCAAAGCTGCTTTAGACAAAGTGGAAAACTGTTCTTTGGCCAGATTAATCAATATTTGAAATTCTTTTTGGAAACCACTAATGCCGTGTCCTCTGTACGTTAAGAGGAGAGGGCCTATCCACCCTTTCATCAGCGCACTGTTTAAAAGCCTGCTTCTCTGATGGTATTGGGGTGCATTAGTGTCTCTGGCATGGACAGCTTACACAACTGGAAAGGCACCGTTAATGCAGAAAAAGTATATACAGGATTTAGAACCACTTGTGCTCCCATTAAGCAAATGACTCGAGACCACTGAACAGCTAGAATCCTCCATCCGATAAGAATGGTTTAATTGTCAACAATGGTGTACCACAAGGATCAGTCTTGGGAACCACCCCCTTTACAATCTACATAAGTAATGCATGTCAGATCATTCCTGACACATCCTTACATTTCTATGCTGATGACACAGTAGTTTATTGTCGAGTTAGAACAGTTGCTAAAGTTTTCCAGCTTTTACAGTCTGCATTCGACATCATCCAGTCAGATTTGTTCCGTCTCAAACTGGTGCTAAATGTGGATAAAACCAAAGGGATGTTGTTTTCAAACAGGATGTTGGTACCAGCAGTCCTTCCTTCTATTTTATCTATGAATGGTGTTCCTATTGAGTTTGTCGATTTCTACAAATACTTGGGAATCTTGGTCGATGCGCATCTCTCTTTTAAGCCTCATGTCAAAAACTTGATAAATATATATATTTTTTAATTAAAACTGGGTTTCTTTTCAGAAATAGATCTTGACTAGAAAATGCCTTGTAGCTGCTACTTTCCTTCTCTCCATTGACTATGGTGACATTATTTACATGAATTCTCCTGCAAGCACTCTGCAGATGTTGGATGCTGTCTATCACGGTGCACTAAGATTCATAACTGGCTGTGATTATCGTACCCACCACTGCACCCTGTATTCACTGGTTAACTGGTCATCATTAACTTCACACAAATTCTCTCACCCGTACATGTTCATCTTTAAATCACTCCTTGGTCTGCTGCCTTCATACATCTCCTCCTACATGTCACGTCGTCCCTGCAGCTACAGCGTGCACTCTCAAGACATCATTACCTGCAGCGCCCCCTCAGTGCGGACTGAACTAGGCAAAAGAGCCGCCTCCTACTCTGCTCCTGTTTCCTGGAATATCTTGAAAAAGATCTGAAGCTCAACGTTGACCTCTCTAAGGGATTTTAAACAATTTAAGCTCAATGCAAAAATCAATGCAGACATGTTCCTGTTTTTAGTATTTTACAGCGTTTCATAATGTAGCTTGTTTTTATTTTGTTTTATATCACTTCTTTTATTTACTTTTCATTTTATATACTTTTTATGACTGTTTATTGTTGTGTGTACTGCATCTGTGTTTTTGTTTAAAACAGCTCTCTCTTGAAAACGAGTCTTCATGACTCATTGAGACTAACCTCTATAAATAAAGGTTGAATGAATGAAAAACGGGACAGCATCCCTCTCCAAAAACTCCAGCTGCTCTCCTCACTTCCTAAATGTTCACAGACTGCTGCTGTTATAAGAACAGCTAAACATCACCCCGCCCCAAACTGGCTGAGATATCTTGCTGCCAAGAAATTCAAAATGACTACCGATACTTTGGTTCAGAAACTTGAAGACTTCTACAATGAATGGGTTTGTAAATCATTCTGTTCTTCTTCACATTTTACACAACGTCCCAACGTTTCTGGAAATGGGGTTCTACTAAGATATGTGGACGATAAGGAGGACAACTCACCTGTTGGGGTGTAGGACCGAGCGCACAGGTCTAGGGACGCCTGGTACTGACGCAGGTCCACATAAAACAGAGGAGCCTTGGCCTACAGGGGGGTCCTGCACTAAAGAGGGGCTTCGCACTAGACGGGAGCTCCTTGGATCGGCAGGCAGAGGTTTCTGTGGAGGACTGGGCTTCTCCAGCTCCTGTGTAAAACAAAAACAATTATACAAATCGCCACAAGAGGGCACCCACAACCTATTACAGCTTATTGGAGTTCCTTGGCAACTTTGTTGAGGCAACATATGATGGGAAGGGAAATCATGAGGTTTCAATCTTTAAAAAAACTGGGCAAACTGGACAAAGAGTGGATTTCTGGCTTCTTTTCAAACTGGTTCCACAAACAACACAAAAGATCCACAAGGGCCGGACGTCAAGCCTCGCACTGACAGCCAGCAGTTCAGCCAACGAGCTCATTTCAGAACCGAACGAGTCAGATGAGGAGACAAACCGACACAAAATGCTTCTGCAGATTCAGCATAACTGGACCCTCAAATCCTAAAACTCTGAGGGGAGGCCCCCCAACAGAGAGCGTTCACCGATGGTATAAATCTTCTGTCAACATGTCGGAGCTGCCAAACAGCTGCCAAAGATCCTGTCAGACGTCTGCTGCCAGAAGGAATCACTTTCACATCCTGACATGAGCTGGGAGCAGCTGAGGGTCTGCTTCCCAAACACAAAACTCTGCCAGGAGGAGCACCTGGTGAACAGGTGTGAGTCCAGGCTTTGTAAAGCTAAACACTTATGGATTTTATACTAATTATTTTGAATAAATGCATAAAACACAGCTTCCTGTTGCTTTACATTAATATTTATCTGTTTTTATGGTCTTACAAATACCAAATATCTTTGTTAAGAAAATGCCATTTCAGGAAAAAAGTGTGTTCGCAAGGAAATCTTGTTAAAATTTTGTGATTAAAAATAACTTTGCTTTTACTTTTTTTTTTCTTTTTGCAGACACTATCAACCAAAAATACTTTGTGTCCAAAATGAAAAGTACATTCAGATCTTCATTTTAGCTTTTCAACACAAATAAAAAAAAGTTTGGCAAAATTTTTACAACGTTGCCGCTCCCTACGAAAACCCTGGGATGAAGAACTATGCTATGAAGTTTTTGCCACATAATTCTTGTAAACATGTTAAAATGATTAAAAAAACAGGATTATTGTTCACAGTTCTCATCACAATCTCTAAGCTGTGGAGTAAGTCAGAACTGTTTTTTCTATGACTTGGAAATGTGTGAATGAACATAGTCTTATTAAAAAATGCATAGGTTGTGTAAAATTTATTGTTTGAAAGACAGCCACTGGGAAATCTGAACAAACCTTTGCATAAAGAGTTTTTTTTTTTTTTTCTCAGTTTGATAAGTGTCTGAAGGCCAAATAAAACAAAACACTTCCATCTGTAGACTGGAGTAGAAGAAATGCCATCTCATAATTAGTAGGCCTGTTGCGATAAACAATAAATCAATTAAGCGCATGATAAATGAAAATTATCAACATCATTTTCATTTATCGGCTTTATCGTTTCCTCACGGCTCTCTCTTTCTACTGAAGACACTCGATGACAAAAGGCTCAACTACGGTGCTCTTCACTGACCCCTCCCTTTCTCTTTAAAATCCATTTTAATCATCCAAAATCACATTTATGGATCACTAAAAGCAGCTAAGCGGAGAAGCTAAGCGGAGAAGCTAAGCGGAGAAGCTAAGCGGAGAAGCTAAGCTACGCGCTAAGCTAACAAGCCGACCATGGGGAAAAACCTCCGTCTTGTCAAAGCTCCACAATTCACAGTTGAAACCTGTGCCTTTGTGTAAAAAGTTTTCTCTTCAAAAAGAAGCTGAGAAGTTGTTTACTGATTTTTGTTTTAATTAAAAGCTTTGTGTGAAAAATGCTATGCTGAAGAGCTCAAACCACACTGTGTCCGCCATTTTGAGAACCGAAGAGAGACAGCCCATGTCACGTCAAGGGGCCTCCCTCCCATTTTCCTTAGACACGCTGCTCGCTCCCTCACCATCCATCCTTGGTTCAAATAGTCTTAAACTGCCATCCGGTGGTCAGAAAAGGTACTACAAACATATTAACCAACATTTCTTTTTAAATTGGACAATAATTACTAATTATTGTTAAATTTCAAACAATATTATCGTTTATCTCAATAATTTCTGAGACAATTAATCGCCCAGCAAAATTGTTATCGTGACGGTAATAATTCCTATCACTTTTCATGATGCGTTCACTGCACCTCATAGATGGGAAATTCAACCTGTTGCTTTTTGATTGGCTGTAACTTGCAAACTATAATCCAAAATCAATTTTACCTCAAGAAAAAAAAACAACTTTTTTTTTTCCTGTGTATACCATCAACAGAAGTTGGAAACAATGTAAACAAAGAGTTA